TGTAAAAACAACCGACCAAATTTAATGTTAGAGACTTGCACTAGACAATCAGTGATTTAAAATTCAGTTTAGGTCCGTGTAATGCTATCTGACAGATCTGTACGAGTGAATAGAACATACACAGCCTGAATACTAAAGCTCAAAAGAACAAGCTGACAGAAACAGGTAAGCTCACGCAGATTTTTCTCACATATAAAGCATTATCACTTCAGGGACTCAAACACCTTAAACTTAGAGCAGAAAAAAAACAAAACTAAACCCAAAACAAACAGCATGTGATGACTTAAAATTAGCGAGAGTTTTAAAATACACAAGATAAAAATACATCTCTTACAATTAAAGTGATAACTACAGGAGATTGTGGGGTTTTTACAAAAGACACCTTTGATTCTGAAGTATGCTTTTTTCACGCTACCATACCTCCTTCTGCATCTACCATCCTATTAGTAAATAACTAGTAGTATGGACATTTAAGAATCTCATTAAATCCTGTGATGTCTGCTGTTGATGTCAAAAGAAAAACAGTAAACACTGTAAAAGTTTGCAAAAAATGTTAGAAGTGTTGGCAGTATTGAAATTACAGGGATGAAAAACTAGCACTATGAAGACAAAATAAAGAATAATTTCTTCTCTCACTATGCACTTGCAAGAACTCATTTTTCCAGAGCTGAATTTCACTAGAAGTTTAAGGACAACAGTAGTAGATTAATAATCCATCTCTATCCCATTATGCCTCAACCATTTTGGACTGCCAAACACTGCAACCTTTTTAGGTGACCCCGTAATCATCGCTTCTGTGTACGGATCATTCACATTCTTCCAACTCTGAGTTTCTCAAGGAGGTATTATTGGTTCAAACCATTATCATCAGAAAGGCAGCAAAAAGCAAGGTCAGGAAAAGAACAGTACTTCTTGTGTGCATTAGAAGGTAGTAGCAAGGCTTAAAAAATTCTTGTCCAAGCTTTGGGAAGGGTTCTGTAGGGCTGGAACGATTGGAAATGAAACAGTATTTAGCAAATCTAAGTGCTGTTTATGTCATTGTCGACTTTTATAGAATGAGGCACCTTCTTACAGTGAAAACGTCTTGCAGCACTGCTTCAATTATTTATGACTCAGAGCAAAGACATTTCAGATAGTGCAGATCAATATGAATAAAGAGCTGATGTACACTGTGAAAATGGAATATCACTGTCTATCTGCTTAATATTAGGAGAATCAGATCAAATTCTTCTCTTTGTCACAAGCACATGTGAAAACGACAATTCTGAGAAGCAGAATACAGAACTTTTTTATTATTATATTCATATGTACACATTTTTCTAAAAAACATTCTGACTTATGCACTGGAAAAGCAGCATGATGCATAACTTTTAAGTGAAGATAGATTCTGCCTCATTCTTGTATTCTTGTTTTGTTAATATACTTTGAATATTTCATTACCCTTTTTGCAATAGGGGCAATATAACAATGTACATATCATCCTGCAGCAATCATGGATGCCATGGGCCTTTTCCTGCCTTACTTTCTACTACCTCATTCAAGTCAGACAACCTATGCAGATAGCAACTGGTAATACCATCTCAGTGGCCGCCAAAATAGCAGCTCATCTCCCTGCATGCGCACTCTGTAACTTAAAAGCCAAGGAAGATGTTGATGAGCTGTGCTGTATTTCTTCCTCAAAGTACTTCCTGATATCTATATCTCTAAAGTAATAGTGCTAAATTACAACTGTGAATGCAATAGTTTTATCAAGAGAGTCCTTAAAACAATTTCTGTCTTAATTCTCACATTCTCCTTATACCTAACCTCCCCGGGGATCTTCTCTAAATACACTATTCAAACTTTTTCTTTCTGTCTTTCTTTTACTTTATGGCACCATATTTTAAACAGGACATTACTTCACCAGAATAAGCCAAATTAAACGGAAACTAAACAAAAATACACAGCCTGAAACAGGACTACAGTGCAGTGAAATGAACAAATTGGTATCATATTCATAAGTATCATTACAGGCTCTCTGGGCAGCAGAGAAAGTGGTGGAGAGAAGACAGTTCTGTTTTCCGCTTTATGTAACAAATGAAAGAACAAGGAAGTCCTGACAAGTATGTTTTTCATGAAAAGGCTATGACGGCTCTTTGACTGTTGAATAACTCGAGTAACAGTCTCTTATTACACACGCATCGTGCTCTTTGTAGTTAAGCATTAAAAACTAGCTCAGCAGAATACTCAATACTTCATTTCTAAACTCTTTTAGTTACTAGACACAACTGGCATGTGAAAACACAGGAGAGATTTTTCAAAGCACTCTTGCCGTTCTATTATCATGCGAGACATAAAAAGAGGTGTGGTAAGTTTTAGGAAGTCAGACACAGAATGTGTTAGATAACCAAAACTTTACATTTTTAGTTGAAAAATACCAAGCACTTGGTGTTCATCTGTCTAAACAAAATTATTTCTCTGAATAAAGCAGGTCTGCTGTCCAAAGCTGTTTGGAAGTTGTGACAAAGGAGCTTGTTCTGTGTTTGCAAAACAGAGTAAGACTCTGAATTAACAAAACACACAAGAGGAGCCACACATGGGGTTAGCTATACCATAAACCTGATGATGTGCAGAAGGAGCCTGGATTAGGCAAACATTCCCACAGTCAGCAAACCGCACTGGTACGATTTATTAGCAGCTAAAGCAGCTCTGAGATGGGAGGCAGCATAGTCCAGAGAATAACTGCACTGAAAAAATAAAAATGTCAGAACAGATCTTTAATTTCTGACTCCAGCACTGACTTACTATCTGACATCCATCCAATCACTTCCCTGGTCTGTACTTCAATTTCCTTAACACTGATCAGAGATTTACTTCAAAAACCATATTAAAACTGACAGGTAAAAAATTGTAGGCAACGCAAATCAGAGTGTCATCATTACAAAGCACATCAGAAAAGTATGTCTTTACATATGATTAGACTTTCCAAAAGCTTTTTTTACCACTTAGAAATGTTGCACGAAATTCAAAAACCTTTCTGGCCAAACACACTGGCTGCTAAAGACATGTCCAGACCACTGCCTCTCAACTGCTGAACTACTGCCTTACTTGCATCAGTTCAGAACTCTTCTGCTTCTTCCCATAAAGGCTGGTCAGGGTGAAGATGAAAAAATCACAGGAAAGAGGTGTTACATGCTTTATTTCTTACTACTTTACATCTTACTACTTGTGACATACACCTCACAAACTGCAGAATGCAGCCCAAGACTCACTGTCCTGGGAGATGCAGGGTTCGATGCTCCCGCAAGCTGCTACTGCTGCTGTAGATACTGCTGACTGCCTCAGCTGTCTCAAACAAGAGAGGCAGGGGATAGGTGAGAGGCCACTCAACAACCCCACGTTTCTATCAACCAAGCATTATGCAATTGCTCATTTATTCTGGGACAGTCAAAAAGTACCAGTAGGTGTAAGAAGGTCTGTTCCCTTTCAGCTACACTCATCAGCCCAATGCCACGTATGATACTCGGCCACCCTTCACGCCTTGGCCCAAGCTCACTCATTCCTACTGCTCACTCCTTTCCTACCCCATCCGGACTCTTACCTCACCAACACACTCACTGCTATTAAAATCAGTCTTGGGTCTTAATCTGAAAAATGTCTTTCCAGGTTGTTATCCCACGTATGTATTCTGATGAGCTCATGGAAATTTCTTACAGATAAATTATTTCTCCTGTCTTCCAAAGCAGTTCAGAGCAGCCTGTGTGAAAGACTACTGCTTAGCTAATGTACAAATGTGTAACAAAAACGAATCTGACCCCTCAAAGCCACCACAATCCATAAAACAGACAAACACAACAAATAGATGAGGATGGCATAGGGTAAGAAAAGATGGGTGTGGGCTTTTCTAAGAAAAGGTAAGAGATTAAACAGCAAAAGCAGCAACAAAGCTGTCATCACAGACAATCTGGACTTCAGCATTTCCTGCTTCCAGTATGTGACCAGCTCTCCAAAATAGGGAAATTTAGGCAAGCATTTTTCTGCTTCAGAAAACTGAAGTATGTTCTAGATAATGGAGTAATCAGAATGTAAATAAATTTTTTAAAAATGCATATAGATCCTAGTGAGATTAGCCTGAATAAATTGTATAAGGCTACAGATAAATTTAAAGGTTACACATTGTTTTAGGATACCATGTCACCAGCTAGCATAGGGTGGCACAACAGTATTCTAATATATCCAACCATAGAAATTTTCTTTGGAAGGGAACTCTGAAGGTCATCCAGTCCAACGTCCACATCACAAATTGGACTAAGCCCAACCCTAGACCAGTTGAACCACCACTCTTTTTTTTTCTTTGGACAATGGCTGTACGCTGTTTGAACATCAAGATGCATCCCCCTGTGCACCACTTACAGCCTAAATCATGACAGCATCTGCCTTGGAGGAAAGAGATGAGCTGGAGGCATACTTCCTTCTGAACGTGTGAAACGCCTGATTGCTAAGAGTTAGAAGGAACTCCAAATCTAGGATCATACCCCTGTGGCTGCAGAGTAGGTGTGTGATGTACCTTCAGCACACAATGAAACATACTAGTTCTAGATCCATTAGAGGGGAGCATAACTCAGTAATGTGCCCAGTGTTGTGCTGATCCAGCTCTGAATGGTTTAAACATGCTTTTGTGTTTTGAATGAAAGTATATATAGGTCTATGTGTGCTGCCTCTTTTAAATTCAGGCTTGTGGAGAGAGGTATCCAACCTCTGGCCTTAGCTACATAGGCAAAGAAGAAACAAGAGTGACCTATTTGTCATTCTGCATGTTTACCACCTGAGAACTATGGCTTTCTGAACCATCTTTACCACCACTTTACCACCTTCTTGGAGTTCTGGAAAGAAGCCTCAAGTTGCACCCTTCCTCACTGCAAAACTAAATCCTAACGGTGTTGGTCATCTACTAATTCCTTTTCTCTGTGTTCATATTAGGCCACTGCCAATCTTTTAATGCCCATTTTTCAGTATTTTACCTTGTGATCAGTATGGCTGCATCAACTGAAGACATGTCTTCTCCCCAGCTAGTTGACATTTCTAAGTGTATATCATTCTTCTTGCCAAATTCTTCATGTTGCCATCTACAAAAGCTTTCCAGCATTTTTTCCCCATGATGTCCAATATACATATCTGCCTGGAAATAAAAAACAATTCATTTTATTAAAATTTTGATTCCTTGAATAGAATTAAGAACATTTTTTGACTGAGTTAGCAAAAACATTCTTCTTTTTACAGTATGACAGAATGACTGACTTGAGCTTTAGAAGCAGAGACCATCTTTTTCTCATGTTAAAGGCAGAGATGAAGACAGTACACTGAGAGGCATTCACTGGATATGTTCACCTGAATTTGTCTCATTCATTTGCTGATTTTTCACTAACCATAGTGAAGACAAGAATAACGATGTGAAGATCCAGAGTTTGAACATGAAATGAGACTTCTGCTGAGAGGACACTGAAGAAAGAAATACTTTCCTATTCCCTGGAAAAATACTGTACTTTAAAACCAGAAACATGGATAAAGGAATCCCTTTTTCTTATAAACTAACTAAAGTATGAAAGGATTTCCATATTTTGCAGAAAAAAACAAGAAATCAAATTGACATTGTCCTGAAATATGACATACAAACCATAGGTTAATAGAAAGTCTCAGTCAAGATATCAGCTGACTCATCTTTCTTCAGAAAGAAAGAAGAACCAGATTTGAGATGATGCCTGAAAGGTGCAATGAAAGAACAGTGCTCTATCATGGCACCTTTTGTTCATCTAGGAACTGGCTGACACAGAACATCAGTTCTCCTTCTACTGTCCACTGGGTTTAAAGGAGATGATTTTTGTAATGAGCTATACAAATGCACAAAAAGCAGAGCACAAGGAGATTTTCTTAACAACTAGCTTGCCATAAGGAAACTTTGCTTGACTGTCTTCCAGCTGCCAGCACAGAAAAATCTCAGTATGTGCAGCACATGAAGAAGGAGCAGCTTACTCCTTACTGGGGCTGCCCAGCAGTGTAAATGACTAAATAATGCACAAAAGCTAACTGAGAAAATACGTCAGCCATTCAAGCTGGCGAATATTGCAAACCTTCAAGAAGCAACATGCTAAGTAGCATTACCTTCTGTAGGCTAAGACAAAGATTGTATATACTTACAGGAGTCTCATGAAGGAGGACTAGCTTAGTCACCCGAAGATTCACTTGTAGTCCAAGGCTCTTGTGCTGGAAAAGGTTAAAAACCTAAGACAAAAACCAGTAAATAAAAATACGTCCTTGTATTGCACACAACACACTGTAGATCAAAAATAACAGAACATCACAGAACCTTAAAAATTTCTTATACTCTACTGCGACTGCTTTAATTTTCCATAATCTGAACAGAACATTAAGCTAACCTATTATGTTGGTCTTCTGAAGGGAAAACAGAGATTAGGCAGCATTAATTCTGGAAGCACAAAAAAGACCTTTTCCCCTCAACGGCCAGAACCACTTCATAAACCACAGGCCATTTCTCCAGATACTCATACATACATGCAATACTAGTCATATGAACATTTCTATTCAGTTAAATATGGGATAGTGGCCTGACTGGTCTGAGCCAGGACATGGCAATAACTCTTCCCATCATTCAGAATAGTTGAAGTTTTTTATTTATTCTTCAGCTTATGTGTCTTCTTTAGAACAATCTTTCCTCGTACATTACAGATGCTAGTTTTCACTGCTTTATGCACCAAATTAGTGCACTACAGCTCCAGATAGAGCTGGGAGGGGATGTAATTGTCCGAGTGCATTACCCTTTGAGTTTTATCTGCCACTAACGATCACACAATCTTTCACAACAACAATTTCATCTCTTCATAACAAGCACAGATTAGAGAAATCATTCAATAACCCAGCATTCCCAAAAACATCTCATGGGCTTCTAACCAAAAAATCACCTTGTTCAGCTCTCACTTTCTGGTTTCCCTGAAGATACAAGACCAAACAGTACAGACAAGTCTGCAGCACCATGGTTTTATGCCGAAAAAACATATGCAGTAAGTCTCGACTGCCTGCTAATAGTCATGTACTGACTGTCCTTTACAGATGGTCAGTCAGAATAATTAAAAGGAGCAATGAAATCAGCCCACGGTGCCTGTGGTAAAATGCGAAAAATTATTTTTAAATTTCCTACCATGTTTAAGATGGTTAAAATAAATCTTCTGGCAGCATCTGTTCCATGATACGAAACCATAGCCGGATCTGCCACCACAACAGTTTCTATATTGTACTCCTGAGGTAACTTGTAAGAGTATCGTTTTCCTCTTCCACTTTCTGATACTTTTTGATTCTTGGATTTTCTTTTATCTGTAACATAAAACATTGCTTGAAAAACTCATCCTTCAAACCACTACTACAGTACTTTTAGGATTTGCTACCCATGATTATGGTATAACTCTGACTATGTGGAACATAATCGCCATGAACTCTAATACATGCTTATTTAGCACTGCTAAAGCTAAGGCCCAACTGCAGGCCTGTACTATGTGTAAATGTTAGCTCACAGCAAAAAAACAGGAATCTTATCCGGGGGCTCAAATAAAGCCAGTCAGATTCTTCGCATGCTTTCACCTAACAGATTTATAAAAGAATATGTGCCTCCTAGTTTGGTTTGTGGGAGAAAACTAAATTCATCTTAGGTTTGACAGAAAAACAGTCTCACTGACATTGCAGAAGTGTTATCTGCCTGTTTTCATAAATCACAGAGAAAATATCTTGATGCAATTGCATCTTAGCATGAAAGATGACAAACACAGATTTGCCACAAAATCAATATTAAGAAAATACATTGAACAATTCAGTGATTTGTGAAGATGAAAGAATATTTCAGATGAATGACAGAGAAAAATATGTAGGATATAGGTTTGTCGGAAACAAAAAAGTGAAGTTTTACTAACATGACTTCAAAGTCAGTGCTGCTTTCATTAGAATTAGCTAAACAACAAAACCAAACGCTGGAAACAGGTTTCTAAACCCACAGAAAGCTCCAAATAGAAAACATGTTACATTTACAGTAAGCTAGAGGTTACTGCTCTTGTTAATTTTAAGTTTCCCCTCCAAAAACACCACAAAATCCCCATTACTACTACCGTACATATGGAAAAAGAAAAACTAATTACACAGAAACAGTTCAAGCCAGAAGATGGTCAGACATGCACACAGCAGTTAGCAGTGATACTTAAAATAATTTAATTTAAAACAAAAAATAAAACAAAACTCCCTGTTGTAATAGCCAAATTCTGTTAGATCCCCTTGACAGGACATAAAACTTCTGGGACTGGTCTCACTGAAGTCATTGAAATCAAGTGAAATTTTTTCCAGCTTCCACAATGGAACATTGGGCTCTCTGTTTACAACAAAAGTGATGCTTGAGATGACAATTATAAACACATGTTCTGGAAACAATCAAATATTCAGAAATTTTGAGGAAATGTTTTGCAATTAATCAGTCTCATCTCTAATAGGAAAGTTCCTGCAGTTCATTTTGTAACATATGACTACTCTCCAAAATAAAAGTCACTGTTCAGGAAAGTGCTAAAAATTGCCTTAAAAGCTACTGAACTTACAAATCAACTTTAAAATATAAGATACTGGTGGAAGAAGGATCTGTGACTTAATATAAATGTATGTGTAATGTAGATTTAATGTAAATATAATGCAGATATATACTTTTCAATGTAAAAAGTATAAACTATCCATGCTTAGAAAAAGGTTGTCTATCTTTTTCTGTAGTCAGTTGTAAAAGATTATGTATGTGAGTGATTCAGTCCATCCTGCTACATTTTAGAAGGGCTTATTGATTCCTGTACAACTGGTGACAAAGTAAGACTTACTAACACCGGCAAGCATGCAAGTTTACTAAAAGAAAAAAGAAAAAAAATTATATTCTCAACAAATAAGTGTTTGGCATTTGACTGTCTAGAAGTAGAAACAACTTATAAATTCATAAGGTATCTGAAATTAATTTTAACCTCTCTCATTTTGCTACTTCAGACACTTGCTTAGCTTTATATGTACCACTAGCCTCTAGGTTTATTTGTATTTTCTAACTGTGCATCTACAGCCTAGTTTATAAAACATTATGTGTGTTTTCATCACTCTTTTGAGAATAATTTTTCATGAAACTTCAGTGTCAGGATTTCTGCCAAAGAAAACACACCCTATAAGCTATACAACTATGACTTACCATACAAGCATCTAATGCTGCAAGAGTAGGCTGTAGATGTAAGTTTAAATAGTAAACTCATTTGAGTTAAAAAAGATCTCTCATGAGCCATCTGGTCAATCCGCCTTCCTCCTAGGAGCAGTGATTGATTCCAGTACAGTTTCTAGCAACACAGTTTATTCATTGTTCACTTCTTTGTAAAAAACAGCAGCTAGTGGCTGAAAACTTTAAATTTAATATTAGCACTGCTGTTCAGAGAAGTCTGTTAACACACCTCTCTAAAAGTTATAGCTAACGGTTCATTTTTATTCAGAATTGACAGTAAGCAGCCCACAATAAAATACAGCATTGTGCTAAACACTAAGGTCACCACAGTCCCATAAACCGTTGAAACTTTTGCCTTTTCGGATTGTACTGGATGAGAAGACTGCGCAGCTCTGTAGACAAGCTGGTTGCAAGGGACAGTGCCCATCAGTTGCCTCAGATATCTGCTGGGTTAACAAACCAAAGAACAGTCTGTTCCTGGTCAGCCATCCTTACCCAAATTGCTGGCACAATTCCCTGTCACATGAGATCTCATTAATCTGAAAATTTTAGCTCTTCCCTAAGACCTTTAAATAAATGGAATTAGTAATTAGTAAAAAGCAGTATTCAAACAACTGCCATGATTACTGCCAGGTAATAAGCAAAACAGGCTTTAGGCAAAAACACTTTTTTCCTTACACACTCATAAATAAGTAAAAATTACAAAGAATTGCTCATTATTGAAGGTACAGTATGTAAGAGATAACTCCTGCAAAAAACCATGCCTACATCAATAATGTATGTGACAAGACAGAAGTCAGATTAACTGATAAAACTGCTTCTTGGTATTAAAGATGCATAAATTCACCTTAAAAATTTTATTACATTGGCAAAATAAAAAAAGAAAGGCTACAGGAGAGTTCTATGCGATAAGATAGAAGATATGAAGATTCCATACTAATTTGTTACTTAAATTCATTAATCAAAATATAGAAATACTCCAGTACTCCACCAAAAAGGCTAGAAATACTGCAAGTACATTTGACATTCAACAGGCAACTAAGAGAAAATAACAAGAACTGCTAACAGCTGCTAACAAAACCCCCCCAAAAAAAACTAAAAGCTGAAAAGCCAGCTACTATAACCACTGGTTGCACAAAGTATCTGAGCCAACATTAAGAACAGGCTATGAGTACAGGACTCCTGGACACTTACAAGTGCTCAGGCCCAAGAGCATTCCCTGAGTACATCCACAGGAGGGCCAGACTACAGAGCAATCACCATCACACCCCAGGGAAAAGAAAATGGATAACCTAGCCAAAAGTAAACTGTAGTATTCTGACTAGGTAGGGAGTATTCAGGAGATTAGGAAGCCACAGGCTATACCTCCACTACAGTTTGGATAGGGATTTAAATGTCTTAATGCAGAGTGACAACTTGTTTCTGACCCAATGAATGGAAACCAATACCTCAAGAAGCACCAGTCTCCATCTAGTGCAATCTCATACATCTAGACCTACGACCAAGACTGTTTATGCATTTTATCTCATGCTTATCACATGGAAACAGGCTGTAGAGCAAGAACCAACACAGCTTTCCCAACTGACTGCCCAGTCCACATCCTATAAAGTCAAACTTCTGCTTTTGATCCACAGAAACTAGCAGGCTTTTTCCAGCAAAATGGCATCACTCTAAGGGCAGAAGCACAATCTTCTCACAACTCCCAACAGTGTATTTTTTACGGCCAGAACTAAGAAGTAAAAAAGAAGCCTTCTAGTCTCCCAAATACAAAATGGATTTAAAATTCAGAGCTACTGTATCCTGGATAAGAGCTCTCACTCTCCAGTCTGTGTGAAAAGGAATGACCATTTAAGGAGATAACTTCCCCCTGGCAAAGTGCCCCATGCCTTTACCATGGGTTAGGTTCACTGTACAAACAACTTCAGCCTGCAACAAGTGCTTCAGATGAGGTAGAAGGAAAAGAGTTTAGCTTTCCTATGTGGCCCTTTGCTCTAATAGCAACTGCTTCTGTCACATTTTCTCCCTAACACACTTGTGAACTGGTTGCTTTGAAACGTTTTATGGACCATGTGCTAAAGAAAGGTGTGGAGTGTGAGGTCTGCGTATGTGCAACTGGCTCACATATGTAAATGCATCACACACACATTCAACAAAAGGATATGCACACACACTCTTACAAATCCAGAAAGCATCTGCTTCTGTTGGTACAATTCTCCTCCTCCCTTAATTAATATGAAAAATCCACCCCATTCACAAAACAAGTTCTTTGTTCTCCCCAGACAAGTTTCACTGTGTAGCACGCTTCAATCCAGCCCACAACAGTAATGGGCAACAAACAATACCTTCTTTGATTGCCTCTTGAGTTCTGCAAGAAAATCTACTATTTCCAATAGTGATCCTTCAACACCTCCAGCACAGACATTCATTCCTTCTAGTAATTACAATTCATCACTGGCAACATGCATTTGCTTGACAGGTAGCCAGTCTTTGAGATCAATCTGGCTCAAAACCAGCAGCATAAATACCTGTTCCAGAGCACCTATTTTGACATACGAGCACTGTAGCAGCAAGAGATCCTTTTGTAAGGTAGGTCCATATTGCCGAGAAGTTGCCATATTGACGAGATAGTAGTTCCTCTGTGTCACACAGCTACAACTCTACCCAAGACAGCTGTGTATAACCTGGGAGTACCAAAGAGCTCTATATACCCATCTGTTTCATCTTTGTTTCATTGATCTACTTAGATTAGGATTTGACTTAAAATTTTCAAATACTGTTGTAAAGGTTTATTTATGTTGCTTCAACCCACCTCTAAGGCTGTGCCCATACCATCAATGTTTTGGTGATATTAGCTAACTGCATCTCACACCAGCAACTTGGTCCTAGCATAGACAGAGCTTTTATGCATGTAACTTACTGCAGCCCTGCTTAGTAAAATAACTTGTAGCAGCAGAGTGAGGGACTGGTCTTGAAAGTACAAGAGTGTCAGTCAGAAACTGCAGATATTTATACACCCCTGGCAATAGCGGTATGGCAGCAGATGCTATAAAGTTATGCACAGCTTGAATTATTTTGAAATTTCAGGCTGCTAGTAGAGATAGTGAAACTTATTTCAAGCAAATATTTGAATCTTTGTTGACAGACTATTTCGGACCAAGTCAGAGCCTTGGGCACAAGATTATTAGAACAGAATAAGCTGACTTTCCCATTTTAGAGCATAGGAAAAAGTGAAAGGATGACTACTAATGAACATGACAGAAAAATAATGTCCTTACAGAAGAGTTTGCATCTTTTCTCATCTTCATACACATCACAGTTTGCTATTTATCAGATGCTCCTCTCCCCTTCTCCAGCGCACACATCATGCATACTTTTCATTTGCTCTCTTTTTCTCACTTCCAAACACAGGCAGGCATGCACGCTCTAACTCGCTCATCACTAATAAGGAAAAATAACCAGTTTTACTTTATGTGAACAACTTTCACCAATATAGAAAATTTCACTTTTAGATAAGCAGCGGCAATGTAATACAATGCCTAAAAGAGAAATACAGAGCTCGCTGGAAGAAGTTACATGTCATTTACTTGGTCCCTCTTAGTAACTCCAAAAAGAGCCTTGCTTTGCTAATTCATCTTTGATTTCAACCTAGGCATTGATGCCCAAAAATAAAAACAGTACTTCCAAAATGGAAAAAAACACCTGTCACATTTATTCTTTAACCATGTGAAACGGACAGAACAGTATAAAATGCTCATGAAGAATCACACAGCTGCAGAAAATTTAGGCTGGAAAGGATCTCTGGAGGTCAGCTTGGCCAACCTCCTGCTCCAATCAGGGCAAGCGTTGAAGTCAGATCAGCTCTCTTAGAGCTATTCCCAGCTATGTTTTCTGAATGTCTGAGGATGCAGACTTCACAGTGTCTCCAGGCAATCTCTTCCAGTGTTAAGCATTCTTGCTGAGATTTTTTTCCTTATGCCCAACTGAAATTTCCTTGAATGCAGGTTATAATTGTTGTCTTTCAGCCTGCCATAGCATACCTTTAAGGAAAGCCTGGATTCATCTTCACTATGCAGCCCCTTAGGCACTGGAAGACTGCACCTGCATCCTTCCTTTACCTTTCTCTACCTGTTTGAAATAACCCAGTTCCTTCTACTTCACCCCAAATGACACATAATCCTGCTCCCTAGCCATGTCAGTGCACCTCTGCTATTTCATAGAATCACAGAGTCATAGAATGGTTTGGGTTGGAAGGGACCTTAAAAATAGTAAAAAAAAAAAATTTAACTCCACTTCTGTGAGTATTTCACTTCTACTAGGTTAGGAGACATGAAAGAAAAAATCTATAAATGTGCACTCATTCTGGTTTATTTCCTGGGAAAAAAATAATTTTTCACATCAACATTAAAAACACCCTCAGTTCATGTTGAGGTCAAAAGACTGAGATGTCCTCTATTCTTTGAAGAGAAGGAACTGATGATGAAGCAGGAACAACAGAATGTCATCTTTCACAAAAGCTATTTTTCCCCTCTCCATTGAAAACTATTAAGTCACCACTACATGTCAAATTTTTGTTGAAACCCTTCTACTTCAACAATTTCTTCTACCCGCCATTGAGGAAGAAGGGATTGTTTCATACACTTCCTCTGAATGTCAATCATAGAACAAGAACACCATTATAAAAATAATTTCATTTCAGTGTCAGACCCATTTGGAAGTTCAAGACTTATTACTAAACAAAACTGGTATGAACTGTGCTAATGTTTTAAAACGGAAAACTAAGTACAAGCACTGCATGTAGTAAATAACTAAGCAACTACAAAGACACAGAAGGACAAGAAATAAGTTGTAGTCATTAAGCTGAAGTGAAAAAATGACCCCATGATTTCTACTTTCAAATATAAGTGAATATTAAGAAGCAGTGTCTGTTCCTCAATGGACAGTCCCCTATTCTGACAAGCAAAACGTCAGCTCAGCATGCCACCTCAAAGTCCACCATAAGTTACTATTACAAGAATAGTCAGATATGCTTTTGTTGGGGTTGTTTTTAACTACTATCTACATATCTTAAAAATATGTCTGCTACATTAGATCTTTTCAGTGAGAGTTGTGTATTACCTGTGACAACACCACAGTACTGATTCTGAGAAGCTGGCTTTTCAGTAATTTTCTCCTCTATGGACCTTTTTCGTCTGTACACCCTGTGAGCATGACCTGTCACAGCCAAAGTGCGATTGAGTGGCTCAATAAATATGAAGTCCTCATTAATCTGTATAAACCCCATCTGCAAAGGAAAACAAAAGGAACACATAAGATAAGAATTTAAGAAAGTATGCAATTGTGCACAGTCCTGCAGAAGAAAAAAACCCACAAAACTCCATTTACGAAAACCTTTTGTTTTAGTAACCTTACCAGCAAGGTGACTACCTTTATATTTTACAAGCCTTTCTACTTAAGTGAACTAGAATAAATTTCATTTATTTCAACTAAATCTGTGTGGGTGGGTGGCTATACGCCAGTAGCAGATGCACGGTAAAAGATCTGGAATGTTAAAAGTTTGCTTTGGGAGACCCATGGGGTCATTTAAATATGTACAGCATGTACAGAAAAGTCCATACACTAGCTTTATTACTCAGCGTATTGTCACATTTTAAAATAACTTTATTTAATGAAATAACAGGAATAATTTAGGGCATAAGAATACTTCCTGAACAACTATGAAGCTGGAAAAGACATCTTGTTATATTTTTTCAAATGTATAAAAAAAAAGTATAAAAAAATGTAGCAATTCCTCCTTGGTTGCCAGCAGCTAAAACAGAAAAAAACATTCTAATACAGCCATTTAGTTGGTTAGCTTCCCCCTCACCCCAAAATATTATACACACAAACATACATAAAGAGCTAACACACCAGATGCATACCTAAATTATAAGAGTGTTGCCAGAGTTGAAAAAAACTATAAAACGTATTTATATAAATATGAATCAAACCTAACTCAACTCAGATTGTTAAGCTGCCAACACACACAAGTTCCTATCAAGAGAAAAGCTGGAGACCACAAGGTTTTGTGGTTTTTTTCTCCTAGAAAATGTCATCAGCAAGACTGACAGTTAACTTTCTCGTTCTCTAAACTTAAAAACCTATTAAACAGTGTTGCTACAGAAAGAAAACAATGTGGTACATTTGACTAAGAGAAGCAAAGACCTCTTCTGCACGTTTCCATGTAGTTTGAATGGAGAGAAGGAGAAAAGAATTTACTTTCTCCTGGAATTATGTAGATGCCATTATTACAGTGGATATCCTGCCTGACATATGGGTAAATCATCAAAAAGAAATTCTGATCCAAGCAAGAAAACAAAATTAAAATTTATAGGTGGTACAAAATTTGACTTCCTTCAAATGTAAGTGGGCATTAGTTTAAAAAGAAAAAACCCCAACACAATCTCTCTGCGCAATCACATTAAATAAATGTGAATACATGTATTTAATTTTTTATAAGCTACACTAGCTGCACAATGCTGAACAGATGTTAAAAGGTCATCATTAACATTGTGCAGAAACACAAGAGTAGCATAAGGATTTGTTTGGCTGTTCCGTTTCCTTTTTGCACTTACTTTTTAGGCCAGTTTATCTTCATCACAAGCTTTAAATGTTACACATGCATTGCTAGGTATTTTCCGTACACCTACAAGATACCACTTCTATACATCTTGAATAATGTCACCTTTACGTAACAACTAGCTTTTCTAAAATAAACTATAAATGACGTTAAATGAAATTTTAATTAAAAACATAGTTCTCAAATACTAATAAAATGCATAAAGTATTTTTCATTCAATTTTTATTTCTAATGCTGATTTCACTCGGATATAATCTTTTTTTTACATCATTGCTTAGCCTATGAAAGATGCTGATAAACTCTGGGTATAGAACAGATATAGCAGCCCATCAGGTGGTGCTGCAGATTTCCCCTGTCTACCTACAAAAACCAAGGCTTTAATTCACCTTGAACAAAGACTCAATCATAGCACATTTGCCATATTTCTGTCTTCATTTTCTTTGCTTCAAAATGAAACCAGGGCTTTAAGAAGTTGTTCTTCAGATTGCTAACTACACATCCTGAGAAGCTGTACTAGGACTGCGGACATTTTATGTTTTCTTTCAGCTGCTTGCATAAACTGAAGGTTAATCCATTGTTAGAGAACTCTGAAAATTATTGCCAGTCTCTGAGTCAGAAGTTAAAGAACTGAACACTAATGTAAAGTTTATTGAAGAAAATAAACCTCATTTGTGTACATTCAAACAGATAACCCTGGATAACCTAATAATATCGGTGATCAGTCTGATGGCTTTTGAAAAAAACATGACTACTTCTCCATCTCTCGGACAACTTTATAGGTAGAAAAGGGAAGATGAAGCCCTGTCCTTGCAACCATGCCCTTATTTTTTCATAATCACTAGAAGTGGAGTTAAGAAGATCTTCTACCATAAAACTGAATACAGAAAGCAGAGAAAATCAAAGCCATGCATTAAAGCAATGCAATTTGAATGTGTTTTCAGATATTGGATGCCATGATCAAATACAGGCTTCAGATAGTTCAAATGTCAAAACCATTCCATGTCATGAAAATGCACAGCAAAGCAAAGATCAAAAAATATAAAAAAATAATCTTCAATTGGGATAGAACTGTATGTGAGTTCTGAGGACCTGATCTATCTCCCACCAATTTCACCTGAAAACCTACCACAGCCCACAGCTGCAGCTGAGAAGTCTATCAGGATGCTGGACTTATCTCATGCAAAGGCAACATAATACTCCATTCTTCCCCCTGCATTCATGTATCCCTGCATTTTCAAGTTTTTTACCTGAAATAAAAGAAAACATAAGCGTAGCACATATAAATCTCAGTAGAGTTCAAGCCCAGGACAACCTCATCTCGCAAAAAATTCCTCAGACCTCCTAAGTAAGGGTGAACTGGGTAATTGCTCTGCCTTTTATTTACTCTATGCAGTAAAGTGAGACCTTGAGTACAGGGCAAACTTCACGAAATGAGCATGTAAAGCATTACATGGGACTAAGTATGGACACTCTGAAATGGACTTAGATTCACCACACATATTTTAAAGTGGACGCTTGCCTTCATGAATGAAAGCTTTCCACAACATACATTCACAGCATATCAAGACTTTTCACCTTCTTAAAAGAAAAAAATCACAAAAAAGCCATGCAGAAACACTAGCCCTGAATAAAAACTAACCTTTTGTCTTATCTAAAACAAAAAGAGTTCACATCTTAAATATGCTACAGAAAGTAGGCAGATCAGAATTCCTCTGAGATACAAAAGCTGAGTTTTTTTTCTCAAACACAATTGGAAATATCATAGATGAGAGATGAAAAATGAAAACTATCTGAATATTCTGGGCAATTTAATCTGATAAAAGACATTATAACAGAAACTGCTATGACATTTTATTTCTAACATCTATGTTACAATATTCATGCTTATCTTTTCTGCCCTGCATTTCTTTCCCAAAAGGACAGCAAATTCTTTTTTCCGATTTGGAACATATATAAGGATTTGACATTCTGTCATGTATCCTATGAAAACGTGAAGTAAGTCTACTGTTTCCAGTGAGGTTACATTACCCTTAGAACTTACACAAACAGAAAAGTGAAGTAAATTTGTGAAGACCACCTATGCATATAGTTACCAAACAGTGGGTATAAAGCCAGGAAAAGTCAAGATAGGCAAAGATTTCTTTAAACTCTTATATACCCTCCCTCGCATACCAATTCAGACTGGCAGCTTGTTATCATTCAAAGTTGAAATAATGCAGATTTTGACCATAACATTGTTTCCTGCAGAATTTATACAAATAAGGCAGGAAAGGAATGTAAGAAAAATGAGTATGCTTTCCTAAGAACAGTAATAGAGAAGTAAGAAAAGAAGAAAATATATTTCCCTTGTTATCATTATCACAAAAAACCCAGGCTGATAAAAGATTATACACAAGCTTGTACTACAGTCAGAGATTAAGTCATTACCATTTTAATCTCCCAGAGAAGAGATGGAACACAGATAATACTCTGTCAGGAAGGAGACTTTATGTACCACAAGACGGCTATGAAATAGCATTTTGCCAACATGTTGTGCTGATTTCATCACAAAGATTCATTGAAATGAAATAATAAATGCAGACAACATAACACAGACTTCAAACAAATGCCAGAACATTAAGGCTTTTTTACTTTTTACAACAAAGTTGTTTGCCAGCTCCAACGGATGAGTCCCAGTAGTCTACAACTTATCGTTAGTAATTTACGTAGTAGCAGTTTCTAATCCCACATCTTGAGACGTCAAAGCAAAACATTTCCGTCACTAAACAATTCACCACTGTGGTGGCTTGACTTTGGCCAGCTGCCAGACACCCACTCAGCCTCTCTCCTACTGCCCCTCCCCAACAGGACAGGAGTAGAAAATAAGATTAAGAAAAAAAACCTCATGGGTCGAGATAAGGACAGGGAGATCATTTAGTTATTACCATCACGGGCAAATAAAACTTGACTGTCAGAAAATTAATTTAACTTCTTGCCAATTAAAACAGATTTGGATAGTGAGAAACAAAAACAAATGAGAACAATACATTGCCCCTGCACCCCGACCGGCTCAGGGTGGGTGGGGAATGGGGCATACAGTCAGTAGATAACAGTTTCTCTCTGCTGCTCCCTCACCTTCGCACTTTACCTTTCCTCCCTCTCCACATTCTGCAGTCCTTCAGGATAAGTGTGCTCCAGGTAGGCTCTCCACATTCTGCAGTGTCCTTCAGGGCATGCCCAGCGGCTCTGGCCATGGAGGACCTGCAGTGGCGGTGTCTGCTCCAGTGCCTGGAGCACCACTTCCTCCTCCTCTACCCTTGGTGCCTGCAGGGATGTTTCTCTCACTCTGTTGCCTTGCTCCTCTCACTGCTGGGCATCGCCTTACCCTTTCCTTTTCCCAGGGGCTTTGCCATCTTGGATGAGGGGCTTGGCTGTGCCCTGCAGCAGGTCCGCTGGAGCTCGCTGGAACCGGCTGTGGCTGTCACCCCAGAGAGGCCATCCATATGGAGTTACACTCCTCTCACCTTCCTGCAGGTTATTATCACCAGGAGCATGCTTGCATGGGCATAGAAATACCCAACAATGGTGTGTACCCCTCAACAAGTGGTGGATTCCAAATCTAATTCTCACCTGAAGTAAAGTCCTACAGTATTACATCTTTCCTGTTTTCTCACTCCTGTTTTGTG